GGGGTGTTACAACGAGGTTAGAATGTACTTTCGATCTCCCCAGATTTTTGTTGTAATTGTTAAACTGGGGTATTGGTCATATGTATGCTTCCGCGGAAGCCAAGAATGTTTCTGAGTGTTATCAGAGGGTCTACTGGGGTGTAAAGCGCATAGAGCATTGATATGCGCTATACAAATGCAATTATTATTATTGTTATGCGCTCAGACAATATTTTGTTAAAACTGAAATTCAAAATGTAAAAAAAAAGCAAGAGCCCCCTAATAATGTAGGTACGATTATAAAAGAACGAAACAGTATTTTCTCTCTCCTGAAAAAAAATTGCTTTCTGGGCTTAGTACATTTGAATAGCTTGCTGACGATGTGTTTATTTTTATGAATGGATTTTACCCTCGAAACATTTGCGTGGAAAAGGATGTTTTCAGTGTGTGAGGAAAAGGCTGAAGTGACAAAACGCATGGGTTTTTTTGCAAAGTACATGCCACAGGTAAATTGTTGATAGAAAAAATGTTAAAAATTGGTCGCTTTTAAGGACAAACGGGCTAACCCTGATTTTGGGGGTTCCTAGAAATCTTGACCAACACCAAAAGTGGATATTGCCCTACCTATAGGAGAAGTTTGGTTTCATTGGAGTGTATATTTGTTTAGTTATAAAGAAAACTCTCCTTGTCTTTTAAAGAAACTGAACAAGGGGCACAAAATTTACATTCGTTTTTCTCAAAACAGCATTTTTTTGGGATAGCCCCCCTGCGCTTAAAAGCAACCAATTACTTCTGTGTAACCGGTAAGGTTGACCTCAGAATCACACATTGACTGAATCATACTGAATGGGTTTTCAATGAGACGCCTCCACTGAAATTTGGAGATACAAAAAATGACAATTTCATATCTCACCCCTCTCCATTATAAAAGCGAAAGACGTGACCCTTCAAAAAGCAATAAACCCCCCCAAAAAAACCCAAACAAACCAGTTGCTTGCTTTTAAAAAAATGAACAAAACGACAAAAAGCAACTCTTTGTCAAATGATGACACCAGACAGGTGTTCCTTGTTTTAACCTCCCCTTGTGCTACAGTTAAATTACTCGGCGAGAGAGCCGCTATGATTGCAATAGGCAGCATTCCCGAATGCCTGACACCAATGGAACATTTTCTTGTTACTTGTTCTCAGAAGAAAGGCGACTCCGTTGTCTAAAACATATTTCTGAACATGGACAAAACCAGTTTTTGATGGTTTTGCTGGAGACTGCGTCATTCAATACAGCAAGTTTTGGTGGAGTCCTGTGATGCAAGTCTTCATTTTACGCTAAGGATCAAACACCATGCTTCATAGAACTAGAGTATTTCAAAACCTACACAAGGAAAGTCATTGATCTCATCCATCGCCGCTCACCATGTCTTATATGGCATTCAAGTCATTCAACACCCGCGGTTCGCTCGATGGCCTTAACACAACATCAGGGCTTTATAAGTGTTGCCTGGGCAGACTTTTCATTGACATGTCTCAAAATTAAAACGTTTGGAAAGAGTTCAACTGTCATGATTGTCTCCTGGTTAGTTTTTCGTACATATCCAAGACTTATCGACCCCAGTAGCACTGCAGGCAGCTCTCTCAACCCCTCCCTGACGATCTCGACAAGCCTCGAATCCATAGGCTCCATTGAAGGGTGTTATCTTTCAATCCCTTTCTCTGCAGGTTTCTCTTTCTCCGTCCACATTAATATACCGAGCCCAGACGTCTGTATGATTAATTAATCTTGGTTAGTCTCTATGGTCGTGAGATGCGTCTGTCCCATTCTACTTTGCGTTTTTTTGTTGTAGCCAGGAGATACTCTGTTTTATATTTCATCATTGACTATGTGCTCCTTTACAAGAGGTATTCAAGCATCCTCGAAAGCATGTACTGAGGCAGTTGTTCTCTTCTACAGCTAACAAGTATGCAAGAATAATGTGATCTATTGCGATGAGCAACTAACACAGCTGTCTGATCTTTGAGTTGAGAGTGTTGCTTCTATCAGCCTAAACGTCCTTCAGTTAAGTTGATGCTGTTGCTGTATATTATGTTATCCCGAAGAGCATTTCAGGCTTTGGTTTTTCATCATTGTCCTCGAGTAGCTGAAGCAGTGGGCTGTTTTCAGCTATATAAAACAGGGGGTGTACAAATAGGCATACAGTATCACACCTGTTTTAAAAACTTAATAATTCATTAAGATTATTAGAATGTGCGTGAGTGCCAACGGTAAGTAATTTGGATATCTGGGAAGGAAGAACGTGCTTGTTAATAAATGTCCTTTAGCATTCTCTATTTTAAATGCAATTGGCTCATTTATGACTGTGCTAACGTTACTGGTACTATAGGTTATCAGTTTGGACTTCTATGATCTGATTTCCTGACCATAGACTACAGAGGCCTTTCTAAGCTTTGTACCAGAATGATGATTGTTTCTTCTGTCCCTCGTAGACCACCAATGTCGACAGCTATACGTTAGTTGGTGATTATTCTTTCTCCTACTCCATAGCTTACACGTTAGTTGGGGGTTGTTCTGTCACCAAAGATTATATATTAAAAAAAAAGTAATTAAATATTGATTGGCGATTGTGCCGTCTTCAAAGATTATACGTTAGTTGGTGATCATTATACTGTCTCCAAAGCTTACATGTAAGAGGGTTATTATCTTGTCTCCATATGTGCTTTTATGTTTGTCAGTGATTGTGTTATCTTCAAAGCTTGGCACCAACGTTGCCACCAACGAGTCTACTCGGCAACGTTTCTTTTAACAGAATTGTCGACAAGAATATATGTAATCGCTTCAAAGAGTGTTTTCAAAGAAACCCCTCTCATTTATTCTCTGTATGTAAATTCATTGTCTCTAAACATTCGCTAAAGGGAGGCAAACACATTTTCCTTTTTTGCTGGGAATGTGAACATTGGAAATACATATCTATTTTTTTGGTTAATGTTTTACGACGCTCAAAACTGCATGAGGTTATTCGAGCGCGCGAGACACACATTAAACATTTTCAGTTTGGCAGGAATTGATTTTGAATTTTCCCCAGGTGGCGACCAAAGCCTACTTTTATCGATTTCAAAACCACCAAAGGATCGTTTACGTGCACAAATTGCACTCAGGACCTCTGAGAATATTCCGGGCTTACCCGTGAAGGCTAGGTGTTAGATCTTACCCACCCTTAGATTAGGGGTATGGCTGAAAGACAGCAGTAAGAAGGAGTCATGGAGAAGCAGTAAAAAGACAGCAGAAAGAATCAGGAACCCAGGGGAGGGCCCAAAGAGAGTGTGGGGGGGGGGGGGGGGGTAATAACCTGGCCCAAGCGCGGGGAGAAACGGGGTACATGGGGGCCCGTGCCGGGCTCGTTTAACGGCAAAAAAAAGCGGGGGAGTAAAACAAAATAATTCCACCTGGCGTCTCCGGCCCGGAGGGCGGGAAGATAGTGACTGGGGGAGGGGTGGTGAACGGCAAGACATAGAGAGACTTTTGACTTGACTTGAAGTCCGTTAGAACGACCCTAAATTCTGAGAATTCAGCAAAAAATCAAACACCATTCTGATACAAAATGCTGGGACCTTTGGTAGCCCGATGAAGCCATTTTCATTCCTTCCCAAAACTGAACGAATGATAGAAAAGAGCGTGAGCATAGCTTAGAAACGAAAAGAACGACATAACAATAAACCGTAGTAATAATAATAACAATATTATACTTACAAGGATGTGTGATGATGTTTCTCCCAAAGAGATGAATGCTACTCTTCAAATGTCGGGCGATGAATGTCAAGCAACTCGAGCGTTGCAATAGCTCCCTGCTTTGCGTGCGTGCGTGTGTAGAGCGCCTGGTTCCAGTCTTCTGTGCGCTGGCTACGCACGAATACGAGAGCTCGTGACGCGGGAAGTGTGGTACAGTGTAGCGTGCGGGAAAATCGATGTCAGACGCTTTTTCTTTTCTTTCTTTCTTATCTTTTTAATGGCGTCTCTGTCAGCTCATCCGATCTAGGAGAGGCTCTGTTTGCTATTATAGTTTCATCCTTCGTATTCTACTTCTATTTTGTCATTGTTTGAAGGGGCAAAGCTTCTTATCCTTTAGAAAAAAAGAAACCTATAGAAATAAAGAAAAGACAACCAGCTGAGTTTTTTTGGACATGATATAGGCCAGCATATTGATCTAAAAGGAGGGCAATAGGTCGTTCCCTCTCGCGTTCTGGGGGTGGGGGGGGGGGGGGGGGGGGTTCGCCTTCATATTGAACGATGGTCGTCACTTCGTTTTTTCCTGCCCCTTCCAATCCTTTCCCACTTCTTACACAAACATTCTCTCTCTCTCTCTCTCTCTCTCTCTCTCTCTCTCTCTCTCTCTCTCTCTCTCTCTCTCGCTTGCTCTCTCTCTTGCTCTCTCTCTCTAGGTCTCCCTGACTCTTCCCCCCTCTGTCTCTCTCTCTATCTCTCTGTCTGTCGGTATGTCTGTCTACACCCCCTCCCCTCTACTCTCTTAGTCTCTCTCTCTCGCTCTCTCTCTCTTGCTCTCTCTCTCTCTTGCTCTCTCTCTCTCTTGCTCTCTCTCTTTCCCCAAATCTCTCCCCTACTCTCTCTATCCTCCCCTTCTCTTTCCCTCTCTCTTCATCTCTCTCCCAATCTCTCCTTCTCAAGCCGTCCTATGTATCTATGTGGAAAACTGTTCAAATGTTCTTACCCTAATATTTTGAAAATATTTCTTTTATCGCAGTTTCTTAATTTGTGGTATCAGTTGTTTGTGCTAAACCAATATGTCAAAATTCATATTCTGAAAGTTGACAAATGGGTAAATTATATCGTTCTATCTTTCTTGTCGTGAAATCTGAGCACTGCAGACTGCTGACGGCAACATGGGTGAGAATTCTTTTTTTTTGTCCCGACGGATCAGTAACAAGGCCAGGAAATGCAGACAGGGACAGATAGCGGTTCGCGACATCATTGTAACGACCGGTAACTGGAGCAGGATACCTTACAGACATGTATAAAGCTTAGACCCTGCCAGTGAACCCGGCAATAATAAACCCAGAGTCTCGTCTCAGGTTTAACTCCTTCTTTTTCTCCTCCTCGTCCCCCCCCCCTCCTCCTCCTCTTCTTCTTTCTTCTTCTTCTTCTTCTTCTTCTTCTTCTTCTTCTTCTTCTTCTTCTTCTTCTGCTCTAATATGATAGATTGCATTGCACCGTAATGTTTTACGTCATCAACATAATATAAATCACACGGGAACGGTCTGCTTTTAACCTACCTGTCAGAGTTTATATAACCTACGGTGTAAAGTAAAAAATAGGTACGGTAGCCTACTTTCTTATGGGCTTTTTTTTTCAAAACCAGAAAGTCGTCCATAAAAAGAGAACAAAGAATTCAAACAATTAGAACCAATCCTTTACCTTGAACAATATTATTTGTAGACTACTGACTATACAGTGGCATGCATTAAGTTTGGAACGAAGTGTAATGTTGACAGTAGTAGTGGTGATCAACAAGGCCATATTTCGTTTCTCTGCATGTTTTTATGAGAGGGGATAGAAGAAGAGAAGACCAATTAAATGTCTCCGTGTTCTTTATAAATTGACACAGGTATCATTTCTCATATTAGTCCCCCCCCCCCCCTCTGGCCGCTGCTGCGCTTTAAAGCATTCGTCTTGAACTCGATTACGAGCAAGAGTGGACTTCCGGATCTTTCGTATCTTCCGGTTCCGAATCTTGTGGAAGAAAACATTCTCAGCAAGGGGCAAACTATGCAAGACGAGATTTGCACGAATTAGGTGATTAATTCGATATTTGTTCCTTTTCACTTGCTTTATTTTTTTAAAGCATCGGGACTGAACTATTTCCTGTGAAAAAACAACAACAACAACCACAGACACAAACGGAGATGGACACATACCCAAAGGCAGTGAGGGGTCCTTTTGAGGAAGCTGATGTCAAAGAGGAGGAGAAAGAGATGGCAGCTAAGATACACAGTTTCGAGGACTGGGTGAACAAGTGCTACCAAGGAAACAAGTCTGAAAACGCATCCACACTTTGGAGCCTCTACGTCGGTATAAATCTTTTGTAGTTAGTGCTCCTCAGACATACATACACACACATGCGCGCGCGCGCACACACACACACACACACACACACACACA